CCTCTAAGGAACACTCTAGCCACACTTCTGAGATAGACCAGTTTGTCCTTTTGGCAGTTCGTGGTACTTTCAATATTGTCCACAGGCACCACAATTCAAGTGCATCGCCCCTCCTTTGGTCTTCCTTGTTCAGTGTCCAACTTTCACATGCACGTGGGGCAACTGAGAATCCATGGCTTGGGTCAGGCTCACCTTAGTCCACAAAGCAACTTCCTTGTTTTCCAATACTCCAAAGAAGTCTTGTGCAGATTTACCTAAAGCAACCCATCTTTTGATTCCTTGACTTCTGCTCCCATGAGCATTGATTGTGGATCCAAGCAAGACAAAATCCTTGACTTCAAACCCTTCCTCCATTTATCATGATGTTTCCTGTGGGATAGAGTCCCACCTATGGCAGTTACATAACCTCCTGTCAACTTGAGCAAAGGGGTGGAGTCTAGCCTGTCAATCAGGTTGAAACTTGATGACCTCATTTGGAGGCATGAAGAAGATAAGCACTAGCTCCCTGGGGGCCAGACCCACTCTCTGCCCTCCCTTTCCTGCTGTTGAAACCCTCAGAGCTGGGGGAGCCACATGGAGACCCACACCAGCGTTGAACTGCTTCCACTGACACTGGGCCCACAAGACTTTCCACCCACTGGCCTGTGATCTTCCTGCATTCGGCATCATTGCATGTATGCGTGAGTCAAAAGAGGAATTTATGGACTAGTATTGGACAGATGGGCTAATATTGGACTTATGGACTTGATCTGGACTGGGCTGTTTTCTCGATATATAATTACTCTTTTATATAAAGCTCTTGCTTATACACATCTGAGTGTCTATGAATTTGTTTCTCTAGTCCACCCGGACTAACACACTAACTCCGTCATCTGGTCACAGCCTTGACCCAATTGAGGGAGGTGTCATTATGGTGTGGCCTCTTCTCAGCAATGATTGGCTCTGTGGGAAGCTAACCCATTTCTTCTGCTTAACCTGGATCCTGCATCTGGCTCATTGACCTCTTGCCATATTGCCGGCCAATCCCAAGCACCCTCAAGGGACTGCTGAATGTGGGTTCATTTGCTCTGCATGCATCAGCCTTCCTGCTTAGCTTTCCTGCCCACTGATTCGTTGGCCCCCCGCAATGATACGGGCCTGGAGAGTTCTCCAGCTTCCCATCTGAGCTGTGAACTTGAACCAGACTGGCCTGATCCGTTTCTACAATGGTGTAAGCCATTTCTCCATAGAAATCCCTCTCTCCACTTAAGCACATATAAACTTCCTTCACATAAACACATATAAGCTTCCCAAGAGAGCCCAGCCTAGCACAGGGTGAAGGTCTTTGAGAGTGGACACCTTAAGGGTGGACATATCCTTCATCTCCCAGTCAGTGGCTGAAGAATGGGGGCCCATCATCCCCAAAGGCTGGGCCATCGGTCCTTCCCCACCTCATGCCCTCCCAGCCCAGAGCACAGGGCCAGCTTGGCACACTGGCTGTGAGGTGGCATGCAGGGCCAGGCACAGGAAAACCCAAGGGGATGGGGGATGTCCTCATGCATGATGTCACCATCCCCAGCAGACCAGGAGCTGGACCGTGTGATGACACAACACACTCACAGTTTCCAAATCATTTGTGAGTTTTAGGCGCTCCTGATGTGCCCTTAGTTTGGCCTGTCCCCAAGCCCTGGTGTGCGGAGGGCTGAGTCAGTGACCATGGCTTCTGGGCTTGCAAGGGGAAAACAAGGGCGGGTCCCAGACTTAGCACTTTGTCTCTTGCTGGTCCTTGGAGACGGGACTCCAGAGAGGTCTCTGCTTGGAGCTGACAGAGGACCCTTATGGCTCTTCCTGTGTTAATTTCAGAGCCCCCAACTGGACCCGCTTGGCTGATGACCTGGAATGGGGCCACGATGGTGTTTCCTTGTTTGAGCATGGCATTGAGAGAATGTGGGATATCCGTGTGGCTGTAAGGGTCACATGGCTGTGGAGAGCAGTGGTGACCTGCAGTTGCTCCAGGGACGGGAAGGGCCTCAAGGGAAGACAGACACACGGACAGGAGCACTATCTGATACCTTTACACAAAACAGCCACACAGAAACCCAGGCCCATTAGGGGCGGCCTGGGGTGGGAGAGAGGGGTGGTGAAGAGTTTGTGTTTAGGGGGCTCTGAGGTGGAATCATTGAAAAGGGAGAGCGCAGGCATCTATCAGCCAATGAATCTCCCAACCAAACCATGGCGACCCTACAGGACAGGGTAGAACTGCCCCTGTGCGTTTCCAAGATTGTATCTCTTTACCGGAGCAGAAAGCCTCCTCTTTCTCCCACGGAGCAGCTGGGGGGTTCAAACTGCCAACCTTGCAGTTGGTAGCCTGACATGTAACTCACTGAATGGGAGGTGTGGACATAGTCATAACGGCAAGGGTTTCTCATGTACTGCAACACAGAAGAAAGGCCAGAGCGAGACAGAGACAGAGTGACCCTGTCCATCAGCTTCCCTGCAGAGACACCCCCACCCCCCACCCCCGTAAAGCGACCACCGCAGTTGTGAGGACGGGCCCAGGGATGTTTCAGTCTGTTGTACATCAGGCTTCTGTGAGTCAGCACTGACTCAAGGGCTCCCACCACCTGATCACATGAGGCCAGTTGATCACAGGTTTAGGATGGTGCAGAGCCCCTGGGCAGCACCCCTACCTGATGACGTGCCTCAGAGGAAAGTCTTGGAGATCTCATTCCTAAAGCACAGCCCCCCACCCCCATCGGCCCGAGAACCTTGAGGACACAGCGAGCCTGCCCCTCCCACCTCCTCCCCTGCCCTCACCCTGGCAACCGCTGATCTGCCTCCACCCTTCCATCCCTCTGTCATTTCAAGAAAGCCATGTCAGTGGACCCACACACCAAAGGGTGACCTTTGGGTGCTGGCTCCCTCCTCTGGGGAGAATGCCCAGCGGGCAACACACCCAGGTGAGTCAGTCCCTTCCCACTGCCGGACAGGACCTGGGCATCCCTGGCCTGCTGGGCTTCTAACAGAGGTTGCAGGCCAGGGCCCATCCAGCATCACTGCCAAAGAAAGATGTTGGCAATCTCCCATGGAAAACCCAGGGAAGGCAGCGTGGTCCCCACCCACCCCATGGGGTGGGTGGCCAGTGAGTTGGAGCTGGCTCGGGGCAGATGGCTCTGTTATTATTTTGGGGGTGGTGGGGGTGGCTACATGGGCTATGACTCCTCAGGTGATGCACAACAGCTAACACCACACAAGCAAAAGTTCTCAGCTGCTAACCATTAGAGCTAGAGGCTCCAGGCCACCCAGAGTGCCTATGCAGAAAGGCCTGGAGACCCACTTCTGAAATAGCAGCTGTTGACAATCCAATGGCGGGAAGGGGGTGGGGTGGGGTGAATCCCTGGCACCCAGCTGCAGCCCCTCAGGCCACCCCTTGAAGGACTCATTGCCAGCTTCCAGGCACTATAGTGTCTGTGAACAGCTTGCACACAGGGGCTGGCACACACACTGCTCTCCGCTACTCTGCGGGCAACGCCCACCTTCCAGAGGAGGAAACCGAGGCTCCCCGGAAGCTGGCACTGCAGTAGGTAGGAATCGTGGGGACCAGACCCTCTGTGCACGCTCTGTTCTGGAAGGCCTTACTCTTGCCTTCTTATTTCTAGGGGACCAAGAGCCCACCCCGGGACCCATGGTGCCAGTGGCCAAGGCGGGAGGGCGGGGCTGAAGAGGAGGACACCACTCTTCTTGCCTGCTGGGGGCCTGCCAGAGTCAACAATGTTCTGGGGGGCGGGGGCCGGATTTCCGCCTCCTGGCCTATTGAGCCCCTCACCGCCAGCTGGATTCAGGCTCCACCCCTGGCGTGGCAGAACTCCGGTTTCCAGTCCAGCCTGGTTTGCAGCAGTCTCATGCCAGGGGGTGACTAACAGAGGGTGCAGGGAGCAGAGTAGGCACTGTCGGTTGGGGTGGGGGCACGGTGGGGTCCCCACAACATTTAGTCCAGGCCCTGTCACTGCCCACCAAGCCTTCTCTCTCAGCCACTGGTCAGAGGCTGGCCTCCAGACGGGAGGATGCAGGGGGGTCCCAGAATACCCGGTCACCTCAGGGTGCAGGGGGGCACCCCTACCCCAACCCAAGGCGGGGACCCTTTCTGATCAGAATGGCCCAGGCCCAGGGACACAGGGAGTGTGGGGTGGAGATCAGGGAGGGTCAGGGCGGGGACCAAGGCAGGACTAGCTGCCCAGCTGCCAGGCACGGGGAGGGCTGACCTTTTCCATCTGCGGGGTTGAGGGGGTGCTCAGCACAAGCCCATTAGGAACCAAACATCCATGAAACAAGTCAAAGGTTGCCTTGGTGCACGGGGCACCCCAAGACCCTACAGCCCTCCAAATCCAACCATCCACTTGACCTCTGGTCGGCCCCCATACAGGAGCCAGGCTTTGTCCCCTAGCCCTGTACTTCCAGGGCCTCAGGAGGCTGGGGCTGGGGAGGGAGGGCTGTCAGGAGGGAGGGCCAGTGCAGTTCGGCCCGCAGGGACACTGGCCAGGACAGCCAGATGGTACGGACTAGGCTGTGGACACCAGTGCAGGAAGAGCCCTGAGTCCCTGGGCTGAGTCTCTGGTTGTCAGGCCCCACTGTAGGCACTCCTCTGCCCCCGGGAGAGTAGTTCTGGGGGTGGAAGGACAGACGGAAACTTCATGGGTGCTAGACCTCTCTGGCTGTAGACACCGTGTCCCAGGACTGGGGGTGGTGGGGACCGCTGAGGTAGGTGGGAAATGGAAGCCCCCTTGGACCTCAAGCCACTGTGGGGTCACCACCAAGCTCCCATTTTCTCCAGAAGCCTGGGGGCCAGAGGTTATGAGCAGGGCTTGCAGCCAGGGGAGCATGGGACTGGCCTGGGCACTGCCGCCGGGAGGCTGGGTGGCATAGCCTGGGCTCTGAGGGCAGCAGTGCCCGAGACTCCGGGGGAAGAAGACCCTGTTGGCTACAAATCCAGGCCACTCTCTGCTCTTGTCACCTCCCCCCAGATGTGGCTGCTCCCGGCGCTCCTGATGCTTACCTTCCTGAGAGAAAGGGGTGAGTCTGAGGCCGGGGGTGGGCGTGGGGGTGGTATGGGGGGTGCTGGTCACTACCCATGGCACCAAGAGCAGCCACAGCCCCTCCAACCTGCGTGTCCCCAAGGGTGTCTCCTCAGGGGCATGGGGGCCACAACACCCCCCTCCACTTTCCAGCCTCTGCATGTCCCCTGCACCAGGCATCGGTGCTGCTTGTAGACCCAAGAGATAGGGAGGGTGGTGTGAGGGAGGGCACGTGATCCATCCCTGTCCATCTGTCCTTCTGGGGAGTGGGGGGCATGCGAGTGTGGGCCTCATTGGCGTGTTCTCTCCTCCCCACCCCAAGTCCTCGGAGACCTGCAGACCCAGACCCAGAGCTGGGGGCCATTCCCCCGCTGCCTGAGCTCCTGAGCCCTCAGGCTTTGAACTTCCAGGAAATCTGTGTCATGGCACAGGAGGTACCCTGTCACCACTCCTGGTGGTGCCACCCTGGTGGGCATGCAGCAGAAAGCCCCCAGGGGCAGCAGTGCTCCAGGTTTAGGGCACTTAGTCCAGCGGCCCTAGTGCTCAAAGAGGGGGTGTGCTTGGCCCTACTCATCCTCTCACACACCCCCATCTCTCCCTCAGCAAGTGGCCTAGCCCCTGAGACCCGCATTGTTGGGGGGACAGTCGCCTCACCCCACCAGTGGCCCTGGCAGGTCAGCCTCCGTGAGCATGGGCATCATGTCTGCGGGGGCAGCCTCATCAGTGCCCAGTGGGTGCTGACTGCCGCCCACTGCGTGACCAGGTGAGCCCTGCTTGTCCCCAGCCTGTGGGCAGCCTTGGCCAGCCTCTGCCAGTCCTGTTTCTCCTTAGGGGCCTTCAGATGGTGGCTACCTCCATCCTGCACAGCCCAGAGGCACCTGCCACCCTCTCAGCCTCACCCCTCCTTCTTCCTCAGCCCTAAGAGGACCAGAGACCTGAGCGTGCAGCTGGGGGAGGCGCTGCTCTACTCCCGTCCCCCAGGCTCAGCCTTGGTGCCTGTCGCCCACGCCATCTGGCACCCCTCCTACAACGGGGATGCGCTCCAGGGAGGGGACGTGGCCCTGCTGAAGCTGGCCCGCCCCATCCCCTTTTCCCATTCCATCCAGCCTGTGCCGCTGGTCTCACCTGGCACCCACATCCCCACAGGCACCCTGTGCTGGGTGGCCGGCTGGGGCGACATCGAGCAGAGTGGTGAGGCCTGCAAGGCTGGGGCTGGGCTGGGCGGGCAGGCCTGTCACCAGGCAGGACTCACCCTGGGGAGTGTGGAAGACAGGGATGGGACACCCTTCCCTGGGCTCTGAGCCCTGTCCTGGGCCCTGCCCGCAGCCTCATCCTCCGACACCTAAGACCCATGGGATGGTTCCTGCTGACCACGTCTCTGCCCGCAGTGACCCTGCCCAAGCCTTCCTGGTTGCAGGAGGTGGACGTGCGCATCATCAGTCCCCAGAACTGTCAGCAGCTCTATGCGCCCGAGCCGATCTACCCCGAGATGCTGTGCGCTGGCTACTTCCAGAGCAGAAAAGGATTCTGTGAGGTCAGTCCTGAGGTGTCATGAGGCCCAAAGGACAGAGGGTGAGGAGTGCCCAGGGGCTGCTGGAAGCCTGAGCTCAGGGTCATCAGGGTCAGCCTCTTTCAGACACTGGTGGCCACAGGAGCTCCCTGGCCCGGGCCCGGCAGCACCCACCTGTCTCTGCCTCCAGCTCCCCACGGCTTCTCCCCTTCTGTGCACCCACCCCCCTTTTACAAGACCAGCACTCAGAAGATCAGGGTCACCTGCCTCCACTGTGGCCTCATGCCAACCCCACTCATCTTAGGAGGGGCCACACATTGCTCCAGCTCTCTGGGACCCTTGAGGGTCAGAGGACAGTGGTGGGGCAGGTGCCCCGCCACACTTACCTACTTCCCTCTCTGATGCCAGATGACCTGGGAGATGGGCTGGGGTCCAGGTTGCAGGGAGGAAGTGAGTGACACCTTGTGGCCCCTCCTCCAAGGGCCAGGGACTTTGCCCTTTGCCCCCTGTCCTTGCTGTCAGGAGTTCAGAGTGACCCTGACATGAGGACGCACAGAAAGCCCAGCTCTGGCTGTCACCCAACCCCACTGCCACTCTGTCGTTGAACTCCCAGGAACCTTGAGTGAGGGTTCCCAGACCGTCAGTGCTTATGGGAACCGACAGCCTCTTCTTTCTCTCGAAGGGCGGCTGGTGACTTTGAACGGCTCACTTTGCAGTTAGTAGCTTGATGCCTAACCCGCAGAGTCACTGAACCAAACCCACGCTCACAGGTGTGGAGTCGATGTTGACTCCTCACGACCTCAGGACAGAGTAGACCTGCTCCC